TCGACGTCTTATGGCCCTGGGTGCTGGTAACAGCGAAATGACAGGAGAAAACTCGGATGTGTCCGGTTTGTGAGAGCCGGGAGAACCTGTTCTTTGCTCCAAGTGGGACAAATGCAGCTTCCAGTGCGAACTGTGGCTTAGGAGTGTAGAATCATAGAATCAGCTGGGTTGGAAGGGACCTCCAAGATCAACAAGTCCAACCCTTGATCCACTACCGCTGTGGTTACCAGACCATGGCACTAAGTGCCACATCCAGTCTCATCTTAAAAACCTCCAGGGACGGTAAATCCACCACTTCCCTGGACAGCCCATTCCAATGCCTGATTACCCTTTCTGTGAAGAATTTCTTCCTAATATCTAACCTAAACCTCCCCTGGCAGAGCTTAAGACCATGCCCTCTTGTCTTACTGATAGCTGCCTGGGAGAAGAGACCAACCCCCACCTGGCTACAACCTCCTTTCAGGGAGTTGTAGAGAGTGATGAGGTCTTCCCTGAGCCTCTTCCAGGCTACTGTCTCCAGTAGTTTATGATATAGTGAGTTTAATAAAAAAAAACTTTATTTTTAGTTTTGAAATACTTTTTTTAAAGTGCTTTGAAAGTTGCAGTCGAGGAACAGTGACTTTTTCATGAGTGGCATAATGATCATATTGTCCCTCTGTCTTTATGGACATGCTGAGGACATTTCAGAATAAAATGCATGGTTGTAATCATACATGGTAGTGGCCAGCGACCTCACATCAGAAACTGGCTTTGACTTTTTTGCAGACAAGCATGTGCTGTTCTGCTGAAGAGGTCACAGCACAGTGGAAAAAACCAGACCTGCCTGGAAGGCTTTGCTGCTTATTCACATGTAGAGTTTCTTCAGGTGCGAGTGTTTGCTCTGGGTGCCCCTCCCTGCTCTCTGCAGCTTCATATTTTTTGCTCCATTTAACCAAGAATGAGCAAGGTAATTGGTTTTCCTCTTTAATGTTCTTCCTGTTTAGTGTCAGCACATCAGCCATCCCTGGCAGAATGGGATGTGTTTTTACCTGGTACACAACTTGGTGCTTATCTCTTACTATTTAGGTTTGTTTTTCCCTGATGGTTTCTTGTCAGGGAGATGCTTCCATCTTGTCACAAGACGCTTTAGGTGGAAGTTCTGTATTTTGTTTCTGCTGTTCACTCTTGTGAGTGGGAGCCTTTCCCCTCACAGCTGTAAGAAATCAGCTTTCCACTGTTTACCTCTCCCAAGGCTCTGGCAGGGGCCATCACATGGTGGCAGGGCCTTGAGGAAGGAAGAAGTACTGCATGTGTCACTGTGTGACAGCCAGCCTGCTAAATCTTATCTACTGTGTCCTTGGTAACATGGCCAACTGTTTCTTTACACTGAGCTGGCAAGGAGGAACTGTGCAGGGGAAGAAGGATTTTGTTGCCTTTTCGTTTTTTTTTTTGTTTTTTTTTTTGTTTATGCACGTGTTAGATGTTGCACTGAAACAGGATGTGTAGTATCACGAGTTTTCAGTTTGTTTTTCTGACTTTGCATTTAGTTACTGTAATTTCACCACAGTTTGTGACTTTGGAGACACAGCAGTATTTGGCATCTGAGAACAGGACCCAAAATAATGGAAGTGGGTGTGTCCTTGTGGAGGTAGTTTTTACCAGAGACCCAGTGGCCTGCAGAAAAAGCACAAAGTAGGGAGGTGACAGAGTTGCAAGGTGCAATCAGTCTCTACTCCTGAGGGAGAAAGAGAGCTGTGAGGGTCTGCAGCTTCAGAGGTACCAACATATACAGGCATAGCTTAAACCAGGGTTTGGAGGTGAGAGCATGTAGGTTTCAAGCTTGAATCTCTGGGAAATGGAGTCTTTAAATGGGAGATTTATCTTGCTCTATGGGGGGCTCCAGTTCAATCTCTGGGTGCCAGGAGGCAGATCTGAGGGGCTTGGCCAGCCCTGACCATAGAAGACCTCAGCCTATTTTTTACTCTGAACTCAAATCAATCTAGGAGCATATCTTGGTGGATCTCCCATCTTCTCAGAGCTGATAAGGCTTTTTGTCTTCACACTAGTATTTGTTCTTTAATCCCACCTGCTTAAATAATAAGCCCCGACTGTAGGCAAGGATGACCAAGTGCTCCTACTATCCACCTGTGGTGGTTACTGTATGGGAAGGGTGTGTTTATCCCCTCAGGGAAACCTGGACAGGAAGAAACCATGAACTGCCCCAGGCTGGTCAGAACCAGTTCTGGATGGCTATGAAACCGGTGCTGCCATCTGGTGTGACTGAGCTCCAGCAGATGGGAAGCACCCGTGTGTGTGTTTCCCCAGTCCCCCTGGCAGGTGAGAAGGAGGGCAGCACCTCACCTCAAAGGGGCCAAGTTGCTGAGGGGCCTGCTAGCTGGGCCACCCCTGCCAGGCAGCGGCCCTGGGGCCAGCAGCCCACCCACCCAGGAGCTCTAGGACACAGGAGTGATGAAGGGAAGCATCAAGCACCCGGCATCACCCTCCGAGCCACCCTTGCTTTCAGGGAGGGATTGGGATGGCCTGGATGTAATCTATGGTGAAAACAAGGGAAGCAGAGAGGAGGACAGGGTTTGGTGTTTGGCTTAAGCAGAGGCTGGAGAAGGGGGAGAAAGGCATTTACTGATTTGTTCTTCTGTGTTCTCTCCCCCCCCCCCCAGTACCCAAATCGGTGAAATAAAGTTTTTGTTAACTGGCAATAAATTATCTTAGATTGCCCTGAGATGAGGTTGTTTTGCCTGGGACAGGAGCTGTTGGAGATTGTGCATGATACCCTGACATGGCCCAAAACTGGAGTAATGAGGACTATGGAAGGAGCCATGATCCTGATCCTGGCAATACACACTGGGGGAAGCGGCACAGCCAGCAGATGTCCAGGACTGAGTGCAGACAGTATGCAAATACCTGAAGAAAAGAGGGACCTGGGGGGGACCATTGCTGAGTGGGAAGGTCACTGGGAAGAGATAGACAGATGCTTCCTCCACACCTGGGCCCCAGTGGCCTGGTGTAGTGCTGTCTCGACATGTAGGATCCAGAAGCACTAGCTGGGGATCCGTGGAGGGTTTGGCTGGGGCTTGCCAGGTGCTGCAAATGAGGCTTCAGAGAGACCAGGACTGCTGGGGAAGGGGTGGCTTTGTGGTGTATATTACATTCACATTGGTGAGGTGTTAACTACTAGTCTGCAGGGACAAGGGATGGAGTTTGTAATGAATACACATTAAGATTGTGATGATGTTAAAGGTGGAGTTTGTATAAGGGTGAAAGCAATTCTTAATATATCTTTCAATTAAAGTGAAGGGTAGGATGTAAAGAACATAAATTGCAGAGGGTATCAGAGGATGGCACTGGTGACCTGAGTGCAGATCATGAACTACTCAGTGCCAGCCAGGAGCAATTCCAGCTACCACTGAAACTGATATAAACACCCTGTCTCATGCCAGAATTTAAACCTACAGTGCTGTGACTCAGGAACACTGCTGGAGACATGGGTGCACTCTTTGAAGGAGGTCCATGCTGAAAGGGCTTACTTCTGAGAGGGTGGCAGCTGGTGGATGATTCATGCTTGAACAAGGAAACCCCTGAAATCACTATGGCCACTGGGTAACTCATGTGGGAGAAGTAATGCACTGAAAAGAGTGGTCTAAACCCTTGGCTCTCCCTGCATCATAGTAAGCATTGTACCTTTGTTGTTCAATAAAAATGTGTATTTGATCTCAGTAGAGCTCTCTCACCTCAGCCTGGGGATTACTAAGGGGTTTAGGGCTTGCTTCATTTAGGAAGCTGCAAAACAAAGGTTTTTGGATTGTATTCTCAGGAATTGAAAGTGGAACTTTTGAAAAGAACGTCCTAACGTGCTTGTTTTCCCTTGGAACCCAAGTGCAATGTCTAAGATTATGCATTTGTTTACCTGCCCAGTAGTAGGAAACAGAAAGGTGACACAGCCACAAAATCAAATACCTCCTCATCTCACCTGGTATTGTTAAAGGAGCCTTGATTGTTTTAATGTCTTGAATTTGAGTGTCACGTAGAAAGGAGATTTGGGGGGATCAACTCCTTGAGACTTACTCTCCATGTGTCCCCTGTGCCAGACAGGCTCCACAGTGGGTATCCATTCATGTAGAGGTGTGTGGGCAGCTCAGGTGCTCAGCTCTGCTATCACTGGGTTGCTGGGACGCATGTCCCTGCACCAGGCTGGGATCTGCCAGGGGGAGAGAGGCAGAAGGGGTTGGTGGGCATAGGACTATAGGGGTGAGCAAACCCCCGATGCTGCAGCGCTGAGGGAGGGCTTGGGGCCCCCAGCTGCAGCCCTGGGGCTGTGGGGCCAGGGCAGCAGTGGGATGGGGTGACTGGGCTGAAGGGAGCTGCCAGAGGAGATGGATGGAGCTAGATGGGCCATCATCCCTGAGCTAGGTACCCTGGGCTCACAGGAGTAGATGCTGCCAGGGAAAGTGGCCCCTGAGGCTGGCAGGGCCAGTGGGGAGGCCAGTAATTTGGGCTCTGCACCGAGGGGCTGAGCCTCCCTTGCCAGCAGACCCCGGGGTTGTGTGTGACAGCTGAAATGTCTCCAGCACCGCCGGGGCTGTGGCCGGCGGGGAGGGGACAAGGCGGGTCGCTGAGGGCTGGCTGCCCTCTGGTGCCCGCTGGAGAACGTGCTGAGGGGCTGTGGCGTCCCAGGGAAAATCCAGGAAAAACCTGTGGAAAAATACTGCCCACTGTGCACCTGTGTGTTTTCTGCTTATGGCTTTTTATTTTAAGGTAGTAAAAACCCTTTTCTCAGTTAGTTCTGGAGTGATAAAACTTCTGGTTATCTCACTCATCCTGAGGAAGTGAATCTTTAGTTCACATTTCTCAGATTTTATTCCAGTGCTCTCAACTGCTGACTATTCTCCTCAGCCAGATAAAGCAAGATAAAGTATAAATGTGTAGTTCAAAGTCTCTCCCTGTTTTCTCCTTAATAATTCCTCATTTTGAAAGAAAATTATTACAGCCCACATTTTATTATTTTTGAACAATTTTACTGTATCTTTCTTTCAAAGAGAACAAACAAAATATAATCACTAAATACATATGCTGTGACTTCATTGCTGCAGGAGGAGAGATGCAATAAAAAAGCTAGATAAACTGATAGGAAGAATATCAAACCAAGCACTGAAGGAGGGCAGGATATAACCATCTTCAGTATTCTGCATTGAATGGGTAGTCCTTGTGAGTTTTGGCCCTGAAGGGAATAAAAGACTTCATTTTAGCCGTAATTTTTTTCAATATATCAAGCTCTAGTAGTACTTAGAGAAGCCACCAAGGCGGGATCTGAACTTTGTAACTGTAGAATGATTTTTTCCCCAGATTTTTTTCCTGCACAGTGTATAGTTTTTGTACATTTGGACCATCCAAATCACTTCATCATTCAGGGTCTTGACATTCTAGGCAATATTTAAATATAAAACCTCTGTGTATATGGTTTTCATTATTTAAGCTTGGAAAAAAACAAATACTAAATGCTACCACTTACATGCTCATTGTATAGACTCTCCAGTTTCTGTTAAAGCTGAAAATAGTTGCCATCTCCTCTTTAGTCAATTTGAAGTCAAACACCTAACAAGAGAAAACAGCTGGAATTCACTTCTCTGAGCAAACCAGAGACTGTAAGCAAAATCTACAGAATTAAAGAACAAATCTAAAAGGGAGAGGAGCTGGTTAGCTGAAATTACTGTTTCATGGAAGAGAAAAAGGCATCTCTCTGTATTAGTAAGAATGTATTAGCAGAGGAAATAAAAAAAAATATATCCAAAGTTGCAATTACACATGCCAGCTGTTGCAGGACACTTGGAAAGCACTTGCATCTGCCACTTGTGCATCTTTCTGTTCTATTCCAAAGGAACATCTACAAGCCTATCTATCAATCTATCTATTTTGAAACCCTAATGACCAGTTTCAGTCAATTAACAAAGGAGTAACACAGTTTATGGACACCAGGACTATTTTCTTAATGCGAAGCCTTTTGTAGTGTGCTACTGCACTCAAGTGCCAATCAAGCACCACGTGCCAATTCATCTGCAGAACAGGAGACACCATGTAAAGTGACTGCTAAAATTACCAGCATACTGTTACCCAAACTTGGTTCATTCCTGCTTTTCAACTGTAGCCTTAAATGTAGCCCTCAGTAGAGTGTGTAGGTAGACAGACAAAAACTCGTCCTCTTGTCCGAGGAGAAGCTGGGAAGGGTGATGTAAAGTAAGATATGCAGGTATTCCCAGAAATGCCGGGGCAGTGGAAAGAATTCAGAAGTTTATTTAGAAGGCCAGAACACAAGAAATGTACAAATTCCTGACAGTGCTATTTAAGGACCGGGCTCTAGGGAGGAAAAGGCAAGTTCCCACCCTCTCCAGGGCCTTTAGTATCGTCTCTGTTTCTCCCCTGCCTTCCCAAGGCCTCTGTACATGTCTGTTGGGGTTATCTCTCTCTGGCATAGAAGAGAGAGACATAACATAGCTCTCTTTGCAATCCCCTCTGGGCTGCAGAAGGGGAAAAAAAAACATCTAACCCTCTTGAAGGCACTTTGCAAGCTTCCTAAGCGAAAATGAGTTTCTAGCTTTCCCATTACAAATTCTTCCAAAAGCACAAATATTCCTACAAGTGAGAAAGGATCTCTGTTTGCTCTGCAGGGAGAGACTGTGCAGCTCACTCCAAACCCCTCACCTGGAAGTTCTCCACAATGCGCTGTGGTGTGACAGACTTGGGAATCACAATCACATTTCTCTGGATCTGGAAGCGAAGGAGAACCTGCAAGAACAGAATCAGAAAGAGGATGGTTCTTGCTCTGAAGGAAGCAGAGCCTGTTCCAACAGTCATATTCCCTAAGATATACCCTCTTCTGCAGAGCTGCATTTCAAATCATTCCTATCCCTGCAGCCCAGATAGCACTGCCTGGAGAGCAAAGGGGGGAAGTGGTGGAGGCCCCCATGGAAGACCATCTTTCCTATTCAGTTTAGGGACAAACAAATCTTTTCTTACCCACCCAAACTTCTATCAAGATTTTATTCTCTGTAACAGAGGACTTGAGATGAAGACTGAAACATTACAGCATCTGAAGATGGGTCAAGAAAGTGTTTCTTGTTGACAGTCAGAGGACACTTGCACTGCAGGTCACACAGTAAACAGACCTGCACTGCTACCTAACACCACAAGTGACAGGGAAGGAAATGCCACCTTGTCCTGTGTTACAGGAATGGATACCCACTGTCTGGAATCTGTGTACCTGTGCTGTGGATTTCTTGTGCTTGGCTGCAATGTCTTTGATCTTGGGGTCATCCAGGAGGGAAGGATCCTCTGGCTTAGCCCTACACAGGGGAAAGATGTACTTAGTATCTCAGTGCTTTAAGCATAACCCACACCAGTTCCCTTGCAAAGCAATCTTACCATGGTCTGTCAGGAGAGCCAAGGGGACTGTATGCTGTCACAGCAATCCCTTTGGATTGACAGTAGTGTACCAGCTTCTCCTGGGTAAGGTATGGATTGCATTCGATCTACCAACAGAAGAGTATAGAGATTGATAGCAGTACAACTGCTGTAACTCACTCCAGGGATTATCTCCTAATGCACTTAAAGGTTGGTATTTGTCCTCATGTGCTTGTCTTTGCAAAGTATTATTCAGTCTTAGTTTTCTACAGCACCTATTTTTACAGTGAGATTTCTTGTATATCTGGGTTATTGCTCAGAAGAAAAAGCATTTCATAAGGCTTATCCCTGAGTTTTTTGGCACCAAGAAGGCACATTCTGAGATGCTTCTTGGATTTCCAAGCAGTAGCTGAGCAAATATTGAGAACCCTCATACCTTGTATGTTCAACTGTAATGTGGAGTGGGATTAGAAGGACATGCAGCATCTGCTTTGTAACCATTCCTTATGTGTTCTAGTCATAAAAATCCCTTTCTTGTGAGTTTGTGTGAATGTGTTACATAGATACTGTAGTTTGGGACAGAAATGCATTTTTCCCTTTTAGCATGCTCTTTTTCTATAACTACATGCAGAGAAAGGCTCTGGAGACTGAGTGAATTTAGTACTTTACGTGAACTTGCAAGAACTAATGAATTCAGAACTGCAAGAGGTGTCTGAGTCTGTGTAATATTCCTGGGAGAGATAAGTATCTACAGCAGGTTCTGTAGCACAGAAGAAGGCAGTAGCTTTGCGTGCAGACAAAGACTAGGTATTTTTTTTGATATCTGTATATGTACACATTTTGTGTTTTATTTTATATAAATAAAAAAATCTTCAGGGCAGATATCATGAAGCCACTGCTTCTGCACAACAGTTAAAACTGACCCCCCTTTTCCAGCTGGGTGACTGAGTGAACTGTGCATGCCTGCATGAGAAGAAATGTGAGTTATTTGAACAATTATCTGCTATTAATAAGAGATGGCTGCCATCACTAATAAGAGAACAATTATTGTATTTTAAGAAGTTCTTGTTGTAATTTGTGTACCACAACTTCATTCCCTATCTGGACACAGGAGATCTACAACATCTTTACATATACCCAGAAGTAATCAGAGGGTGTTCTTGTGCTGTGTCTATTTTCTTCTCCCTCTTGCATCTCCTCACACAACTGTAATCAGATCCTTATAATGCCTGAAAAAACTAGTCACCTGAAGTCTCTTTGCAGCTTACCTGGACATTTGCAGGCTTGTACTTCAGTCCTGGCTTGTTCAGGATTCTTTCAATCTGCTCGTGGTTAAAGTTGGAGACTCCAACGGCTTTTACCAGACCACAGTCCACCAGCTCTTCCATGGCCTGATACAAAGAGGAGCAAAGTCAACATCCAGTGTGCAAGACAAGGCCTGAAGACATTATACCTGGTTTGTCTTTGTTTCCTTCATGGGAAGGGAAAGACAACTATTTGGAGTTGCAAAGTTTGTCTCTTGAGGGAAAGCGTGCACTGGTGTATTTGTGCCATGTCTTCCATCTCACCCAAACCCAAAGGCTCCTTCTTGAGATGGCAGAAATTCACATAATGATAAGTTACTTAATAATGATAAACAATAATGTGTTGAGTGAGCACTAGGGGGCTGTACTGCAGCTATGGACAAAATCACAAACTAATTTATTTCAGCAAAGTGTATTTGAGCAGTTTAAGAATGGTAGTAAAGACAGTTCTGTTTCTGTTATGGTCAAGCAATCTGGTCTGCAGCTCTGCCGAAGATTATCAGCTTCACTAAGCATGTATGTTTTAAAAAACAACACTGTATACAGTCTGATAAATGCATAAGAACTTTGTGACTGCTAAAGGTAATGAAAGCATGGAAAAGACTGCCAGTGACAGCAAACATGCTTCTCCCACTGTGACTGAACTTACCTCCCATGTATCTAGAAAATCTGTGTTGCTGGGTATAGACATGCCTTTGTCATCTTTGGGGTACAGCTCCTCTCCTGCCTGTCAATGAGAGAGAAAATGCTTGAAACACTCATTATTGGGAAGTTAATAGCAAGACAACTGAAGACAACATTAACTACTAGTAGAGAAAATACTAATATTTGTCTACATAGTTCATGCAGGTTTATGGTCTTTTGCCAGCAACCATTCCTAGTAGGAGGGACAGGATGAAGTAAAGTCGTGACTCACTAAAACACACACAGATAAACAAATCATACCACTTGTGGAACAAAGTGGAAGAAAGAAGCTTCTCGTACTCCTCTATCATGCCTTTAAGAGAGAACTGTTTTTTCTGAAGGGCCTGTTAAGGTCCTAGAAACATTTAAGTCAGGTTTAAGGTGAGCCACATCTCCTGAAAAATGTATTATGCAAACACACAGGTCTCTTGTGAGGGGACCCTCAGTTTAAATTTGTGGCACTCGGAAAATCAGAAAATCCCAGGTGTACAAACTCACAAATAAATTCCCGTATCTCCATATTGCTCCACATCTAGTGTTGTGCAAATGTCAGAGTATTATGCCATGACACTTTTACACAAGGTCTTTGTTCAAATAAAACCTACCATGACAGCTTAGAAAGTATGACAAACAGTTGACACGGTCAAAAGCAACAGACAGGATGGAGGCCTTAACCTTTTTGTAGCAGAAAGGAAAAGCCAAGGCTAGACATGGACTGAGACATGAAGTATGAGATGTACTTTATGTAATTCTGACACAGATGTCAAAAAAAATCTCACCTTTTGAAATTCAAGGTCTGTGGAACAACTTTAAGACTCCTACAGCAAAGGTCAGCTCAATCTGTGCTATATTAAGGACTCAGTAATTAAAGAAGGAAATGGAAGACAGAAAGAGTCTCTTGTTCTGTGATTCTGTAACATGCAGAGGAAAGAATTTCTGTCAGGTAGCAAAGTACAGCCTTCCTTCCCACAAAGCAGAGAAGGATGATTTAGCCAAAAGTAAAGCAGCACAACTCAAGCTTGCAGCTGGGAGGCCTGATCTTAGTGCTGGGTCTGCCTCTCCATTATCAAAAGGGCAGAGGACGCTGTGCAAGCCTCACTCTCGGGGGCAGAGACCAGGAGCGTGGCTGACATGGCCAGAGTAAAGCTGAATGGGCAGCACTGTCACAGTGCTGGTACACACCAGACACATGCTCTTTCTGGAGCTGCAAGTGCTCCTGGCAGTTTTGAGGAGCTCTCCCAGGAGGAAAAGCCAAGGGCATTGCTGTTACTGTACCTTCAACCCAGTAGGCCAGTGGATGAGGTAGAGATCCAGATAATCCAGTTTCAGGTCAGCAAGAGTCTTCTGGCAGGCTCCCTTCACCAGAGGCTTCTCGTGAAACGTGCACCACAGCTAGGGGTAAAAAACAAGGCACACTGTGACCTCCTGGGTTAGATATCTTGGAACCCTTCTGTACTGTTCCAGCAAGAACCTGTTTCCTTTGGAAGGTGATGTGGAATTAGGCCACCCTATTTCTTTTCAGATGGGGCTTGCTCTCTAAGCAGGACTGGGCAATGGCCTCTGATACCAAGGGCAGTATGTGCTGTGGTGGCATATGTGATCAAAAAGGGTTGTAAACTAAAAACTGACCCTGTTCCATTAGTCAAGATATGCAAAAGCCACTTATTACAGGCAGATATGGGTTAAAGAGCTCTTTTTAAATTAATAGTTTCAGTGGTGAGCCAAATACAGAATTTCCAGCAGAAGCAAGGAAAAACCAGGACACTTTCTGGGACCATTTAAGCTTAACACATACTTTGAACAATCCCATGAAAATGGAGAATGTGAAGCATATCTTAGATAACTCTATACAAAAAACAGTGACAAAAAGCACCTTTCATCAGTATTGGTCTGAACTATGTTCTGAATTACTCCACGCTATAGCACACAACCTTTCCCCCTGCTCTGAATTTCCCTCTAAACAAAGCAGACCTTCCCCTAGATCCTAGGTCACTATATCCTTACCTTACTGACGACGAAGAGGTGTTCTCGTTTCACAACACCTTCCTTGATTTTCTGCTGGATCCCTTCCCCAATTTCACTCTCATTTTGGTACACATAGGCACAGTCAAAGTGGCGGTACCCGGCATCGATGGCAGCCATCACTGCAGCTTTGACTTGCCCAGCTGCAGACTGAAAACAGAAGGTTAAGATCCCAAATCAAAGCATACAGGCTATTTCCTAGTTATTTCATCATCATTATCATCATCATCATCATGGCTGGGCTTCGCAAATGAAGATTTGGGGAGGGCTCTACCCATGTTTGTTACAAGCGCGTTGGTGGCTAAAAAGGCCAATACGAGATAGACAAGTCTGGTTGCAAAAGGCACAGCAGAAAGACTCCTTAGGTGGTATATTCTGCAAGGCACGATTCTTTCTGTGTTGCTTTTTCTCCTCCAGAGTGATCCCGTGTGCTTTCTGAAAAGCATCAGCAGCATTATAGATGGTGTGTCTCCAGACCTCCCGATTGGAGGCCAGAGTAGACCGGTTATGTTGATCAATATGGCCAAGGCTGAGATGTTGTTTCAGGGAGTCCTTGTATCTTCTCTTCGGGGCTCCTCTCTTGTGGCAGCCGGTGGCAAGTTCACCATAAAGCAAGATCTTAGGGAGGCGGTGGTCCTTCATCCTGGAGACGTGCCCTGCCCAGCGCAGCTGAGTTCTCAGTAACATGGCCTCAATACTTGTGACTACTGCTTGTTCTAGAACAGATGTATTGGTCACATAATCTGACCAGTGGATATTTAGGATTGAACGGAGGCAGCGTTGATGGAAGCGTTCTAGGAGTCACAGGTGGTGGTGGTAGATGTCCCATGGGTAGATGACTCATGATTCGGAACCATATAAGAGAGTAGACAGCACTATGGCTTTGTAAAAACTGATCTTTGTACTTTTCTTCAAGTGTTGATTTCGCCAAACTCTTTTATGAAGCTTTCTGAAGGCACTATATGCCTTTGCTAACCTGTTGTCTACACCTTAGTCATCCACATCACCGTTAAGTATTGTACCATTCTCTAGCCCAGCTCCTGCTGGGGCACATCCCACCTGTAATTTGAAGCTGCTTCTTTCAGAGACAGAAGAGATGTGCATTTCTGTGTGTTTCTATATCCTGACGGGGGTAAGAGCTGTGCACAAAGAAATGTTGGCATATCTTCTTCATACAGATTTAGCAACGTTTGTTTTCAGTCATTTTATGGTTCACTGATTTTGTAGTCATTGTAACAGCAGTGCAAACTGCTTTGTCAGAACTTGCTTGAAACGCATGAATGGTCTTCTAAAGCCATATCTTACTAACAGATGATTCCCAGTGACCTCGCCCAGGATTAAAGTTACTCAGCACTGAAGCAGCAGACAATCCGAGTGCCCCACTGCATCGGCACGGAAGCCTTGGCTGCGGGAAGGGCTGGGGAGCGGCAGGGAGAGGGGCCGCGGGAGCCTGGCCGGGACGGGAGAAGATGGGATCCGCGCATCCCTGGGGAGGGGGTTGCCGGGTGCGTGAGGGAGGGAGGGAGCCGACTCTCCTGGGCTGGGAAGACCCAAGAGTCAACTCTCTCCCATGGCAGGAGGGGAACGGCAAGGACAGAGGGCACGCTAGGCAAAACAGCTTCAAAAGCAGCGTGGGGCTCCGCCTGCAGGGACGACTGGAGCCAGAGGGCATCCTTGGCGGTATCCCGGGCGGGATGCTGAGGGCACCGACAGCGCTGCGCTCCGGCCCGGGCTGTCGGTGGGGACGGGTCACCGAGCCGAACTGAGCCGTGGTGCCCCCGCTTCATCCCCAGTTCAGAGCGCTCCGGAGGAGATCGCACCGGGCGCAGACCCAGCCCCGCTGAGAGCAAGGGACCGCGGCGCGACCGGGGGCACCACCGACATCCCCCTTACCTTCCATGTGCCCAGCCCCATGAGGGGCATCTTGGCCCCGGTGTTGAGCTGCACGCAGGTCGCCATAGCTCCAGCCGGGAATGCTGCTCCGTCGAGCAGCATTTAATGACGGCCGTGCCGTGCCCGCCCCGTCCCGGGACCTGCCCACACGGGACAGCCACCGAGCTGGGGCGGGTCAGTGCCGCATCTCCCCGAGTCCTCGGAGCTGCTCTCTCCGCGGATGTGGGTTGTGAGCCTCGGGACAAGGAAGGGCTCTGAGCCCATCGGCTGGATCAGCGTGTCCCCGCGGCAGCGATGGTGGTCCAGGCTCTTGCAGAGCTCCCGTGGTGTCTGTGTGAATCTGGAGCTTTCAGCCCTCAGTGCCCCTCAGAAGGTGGGATGATGTTTGTGGTAACAGGAGAGGAAAAGTGAGCTGCTCTGTAGGTGTAAATTAGAAAGCAGTGAAATTTGGAGAATAATGTTATTTTTAGTGCTGGGAGAGGTTTCTTGCTATGTTTTTTGAAGAAAAGATGTTATGTTAGGGCCACCTAAGAAACTTTGCTGATTGCTCCTGCTTGGCGAATTTATTCAGGTGCAAGCGTTGTTTGGACTATAATGGTGCATTTTTCTCTGTGTGCCTTTCCCACAGCAGATGTCCAGCTCTTTGTAGCTTTGTACTGGTTTTTTTGTCAGCAGCATCAGCTGTCCTCAGCAGGATGTGATGTTTCAGTTACATCACAAAATAGTTATATAATGCAGTGTTTGCCTTTTTTTTTTTTCTTTCTGGATTCCTTCTCTGTAAATTTGCTCTGAGCATGCTCAGACTCATGAGGTTTGGTTCAGAGGTCAATGGAAAGATTGTGATACTAGGAGTGCTGATGACAGTATTAAAAGAAAGCTGTTTGCATGGGAGGCCTGCTGCCATCCCAGTCTAGGGGGTTTCACACTTCCTTTTTTCCTTCCTAATGTCCCTCCCACAGTTCAGAAAAGTGGACACTGTCCATCCACAGAGCTGTAGGGAAGTTCTCTGTGCCAGTCATGGCATTGTGTCTGGTGAGCATTCCTGGTAAGCATTGATGATGGTGGGCAAAGGACTGGAACTAAGGTTATCAGAGGGGCAGAGCAGCTGCACAGAGTGCATACTGTTGGGGAGGTGGACTTAGTGGTGTTAGCTGGGCTCAGAGATCAGTTTTCCATGCCTGACCTCTGTCTTGACCTTAATTATTAGTAGAAGTCATGTGGAGATTTGTCCTGACAAACATTGTTGCCCTTCACAGAAGGTACCCTATTTTAAAACATAATTTTGCTGAGGACTAGCAAGGTTTATGGAAAAAGCACTTCACAATTCTTTTTTTCAAAATAAAACGTTGAGTCATGCCTGTGATTTGGTTTTTCAGGGCAGATGAAGTACCAGATTGCTCTGCTCTCCTATTTCCTGGATGCTCAAGCTAGTGGTGTTCTGCTTTGACTACAGATGTAAAAGGTCTCAGTGTAGGAACCACAAAAATCTATCAGATTTTTGTGTTGCTTCTGCTGCAGCCTGTGAAGGTGGTGCTTAATTTTCCCCAATGGTTTCTTGAATGAGAGATGTCTCTGTCTTTTAAGAGAGGATTTTGGGCAGAAGGTTTGCATTTTGCTTTGTTGTTTGTGCCTGTTGGTGTGAGTCTTTGCCCAGATCACGCCAAGACACAGGATCTGTCAGTTGTTTCTCTATCCTGAAGGTGTGTCTGGGGTTGTCAGATGATGGCAGGGCCTTTGGGAAAGAAGTATCACGTTTGTCAGTGGATGACAACCTGAAATGCTGTGCCATCAAAACACTTCCTAGCTATCCTAGCACTCGCCAGCAAGGCTCACCTGCATCTTCCACCGAAGGGATAGGCTTTGTCAGAGGAAAGCTTTATTCATTCACACAGTTACAGTTAACAGAGACCTGTCCCAGTTACTGTGCCAGTCAGTCAGCACAGAATAGCCTGTGGAGAGAAGGTAACACTTACTCCACTGTCACATTCTGGTTCCACCATGCGCCCCCTGCTTTTATGCAACATCTGGCACCTGCTAAGCACTGTCTCCCCTCTCTCCCCAGTCTCTGTTACTCTGGGTTTTAATAGCCAGGTATCAGCACAGGATACCAACCAAATCAGTCCACAGTGATACCACTGTACAGTTTTCCAGCAGTTTCAGGTGTTGGTCTCCTATTACTTGTTGATCCACAGTCCACTAAGGCTTGTTTGTAAGTAAATTGTCATACTCAGCTGTTCTTGTCAGCACTGCTCTGTCAATCACAGCTTATTATACCAAGTTATTCAACTTTTGATCAGGACAAGATCTTCATGCTCTTGTGACATCATTTAAAATTGAATAGAGATTATTGCTGGGTTAAGAACTGGCTGATGGCTGGGTCCACAGAGTGGTAGTGAATGGGGCTGCATCCAGTTGGTGGCTGGTCACTAGTGGTGTCCCCCAGGGATCAGTGTTGGGCCCAGTCCTGTTTAACATCTTGACTGATGATCTGGATGAGGGGATTGAATCCACCATAAGCAAATTTGCAGATGACACCAAGTTGGGGGGGAGTGGCAATCTGCTAGAAAGCAGGAGGGCTCTGCAGAGACCTGGACAGGCTGGATAGATGGGGCTGAATCCAATGGTATGGGGTTCAACAAGGCCAAGTGTCTCCAGACTGCCTGGAGAGCAGCCAGGCAGAAAGGGACCTGGGGGTTCTGATTGACAGGAAGCTGAACATGAGCCAGCAGTGTGCCCAGGTGGCCAAGAAGGTCAATGGCATCCTGGCCTGTGTCAGGAATAGCGTGGCCAGCAGGACCAGGGAAGTGATTCTGCCCCTGTACTTGGCCCTGGTTAGGCTGCACCTTGAGTGCTGTGTCCAATTCTGGGCTCATCAATTGAAGAAAGATATTGAGGTGCTGGAGCATGTCCAAAGGGCAATGAAGCTGGTGAAGGGTCTGGAGCACAAGTCCTGTGATGAGAGACTGAGGGAGCTGGGGTTGTTCAGCCTGGAGAAAGGAGGCTCAGGGGAGATCTTATGACTCTCTACAACTCCCTGACAGGAGGTTGTAGCCAGGTGGGGGTCAGTCTCCTCTCCCAGGCAGCTATCAATAAGACAAGAGGGCATGGTCTTAAGCTGTGCCAGGGGAGGTTTAGGTTAGACATTAGGAAGAAGTTCTTTACAGAGAGAGTGATCAAACATTGAAATGGGCTGCCCAGGGAGGTGGTAGAGTTACCATCCTTGGAGGATTCAGAGACTGGATGTGGCACTTAGTGCCATGGTCTAGTAGACAAGGTGGTGTTGGGTCGAAGGTTGGACACAATGATCTCAGAGGTCTTTTGCAACATAGTTGATTCTGTAATTATTTCCAATGACATTGTTAATGCAAGTTGCTTCGTTTGTTAATTTTCACATTAGAGTAGAACTTCCAAACCAGCAGTAATCTAAACATTTTTATTTTGGTTAAGAATGAAATTGAACACTAATCTCTGTCCCGTTTCAGCCTGTAAAAAATTACAACTGAATGAAAGCCCAGTATGAGTTGGTATGCATCTGTAGGTCTGGACTTCTCCCATTTATTCTTCTTTCACAGAAAGCTTTGAACTGTGCTCTAGAAGTAAAATTAATTGTTGTCTTTTATCTTCAGGCAGTGATTATGTAGTTCATTCTTTCAGGATGGATCTTTCTTCTGTGTTCACATATCTTTAACCCTGCAGCCTTAAGCGGTGTTGATGCAAGACAGAAGACAAAATCAGTTGCTAGGTTATTCTCTTTTCTGCTTTACTATGTCAGCCATGCAGAGACACTCACCTAATGAGCAGAGAATTATTGTAGCCCATATTTTGTTCTTCAGAACAGTTTTACTATTTTGTTCCACCAAAGAAGAAAAACCCAAAGTCACTGAATACATATGCTGTGCCTTTGCTCACAGGAGAGAGACAGTGTGCAGCTAGTGGGCAACTTCAGAGAATGGTAGAAGCTCATTACACTCCAGAAGCCTCCAGGAGGGCAGGATAAAACCACCTTCAGTATTCTGCATTGAAAGGGTACTCCTTGAGATTTTTGCACCTGGAGGAAATCAAAGAGGAAGGATTACTTAAGGCTGAAATATAAAACCTTCAAGGGAGGCTCTGAATTGAGTAGCAGCAGAATGAATTTAAGAGACTTATTAGTGTAGAAGAAGCATACAGGACCAACAAGTTCATCTTTTTCTATTATTTAGGCACTGAGCAGTGGTGGGACCAAATTACTTTCTAGATAAAAAGTTAAAATTCACACTGCCTACACAGAAAACAGCACTTTCTGCGGCCTTCCAGCCAACAATTCTTGTCTTGCTCTTGGCTTCCAAGGTGCATATCTGCAAGCAGTTGTGCTTTGTACTGCACAATGGATGACCATTCCCTCCCCCAACCACCTATGTAAGAGCTGACATCAGTTTACAATACCTCACAGAAAAAATTATCTTAAGTTTAAAACTGCCTAATGTTCATTTATCCCATATGGACACAGCCAAAGTTATCAACGAGAACCCTCATTCTGGAATTCCTGGCACACAGAGTTTCCTGGAGAACAGATTTACAGTGAATACACAGCGTGACTTATCCTTTAGTCAATAAAGTAAAAAAATATAACTCTGCTAAGATGTTAAATAACAGACTCTTCATCCCCCAAATGATTTCATATTTCAAAATATACCCAATTTAAACAGCTACACCGGTTCCTATGAGATCAAAATGAAGATCATCGAAAATGCAAGAGTTTGAAGGAGACAAATGGCCACTTACGTGATCATTTCACAGATCCTCCAGTTTCTGTTTAAGCTGAGCAGGGTTGCCATCTCCTCTTTAGTCAATTCGAAGTCAAACACCTAAAAAGAGAAACAGCTAGAAACCACCTCTTTAAACAAATCAAATCAGAAGCAAGATTCACAAGATCAAAAAACAAGTTCATATCAGAAAGAGTGCTGGTTACAGGTGATGGCTTCATGAAACAGGGAAAGGAAAAGAAGTATCTTTGGATATTCGATATTCTACTGGCAGAGGGAAGAACCAAACAAAAAAGACTGACGGTTGCAGTCACATGTGCCAGCTATTCCAGGGTGCTTGGTGAGCACTTAAGTGTTGCAGAATGCCTCCATCCTCCATTTGTGAAAGGTGCATCTTTCTGTCCTATACCAAAGAAACAGCTACAACACTTCCATATTCAATAAATCCAGCTATGTTACATCTGAAATCCTGATGTCCAATATCAGAAAAAAACGCCCTTACGTAACAGTCAGAGGAGCTATGTGGTTTGACTCTTCCCTTAATGTGTTGCTTACTCTATATTTTGAGGAATGTTACTAGATTGAGGCTACAAGCCTGCCCACTGTGTCACCCACAAGTCCACAGAACAGAAGACACCATGTAAAGTAACAGATAATGTTATCAGCATAGTGTTTCTAAGAGCTCTGTCTTTTCCTCAGTTTAGTTTTCAATGTAGCCCTGATTTCCAGACAGAAAGGGTGAGCCCAGTCCTGCTGCCCAAGCAGGACATGGCAAGGATGAGAAAGGATCTCTGTTTGCTCTACAGGGAGAAGCTGTGCTGTCCCTGAAGGGCAGCACCCAGCTCACTCCTAATCCCTCACCTGGAAGTTCTCCACAATGCGCTGTGGTGTGACAGACTTGGGAATCAC